CTCTGCCAATTTGAGCAAGAATGAGCACAGAGGAAACCTGATAAAGACATTTGAGGAAACTTGATAAAGGTACAAACCACATCCTGTCCAGCCCTTCTGTTTGACTAAGTGATAAGTATCTTAGCTTTCTTGGCTGATCCCCACCCTACCATTCTGGGGGTGTTTCTTCCCTGGAGCCTCTCCCTTCCTGCCAGCATCTTCCTGGGAATGGAATGCCCCAAACTGAGCATCAGAGATAACACATGCACAGCCCCAAACTGCAGCTCTATGAACTCATACTCTTGCAGGGGCTATCCCATGTCCTGTACTGACGACAGCTCCATCTGGCAGCAGATAGGAGCCTCAGGCTGTTCCTGGGAATTCACCAATCTGAAATTCTTTAGACAGAACAATGTTGCCCCAAACCCCGAGTATGGCCTTGAAAACAATGTGACTGCAATCACCATATTGCAGTTTCAAGATTTCCTTTGAGCCCTAGGAACACACCTGGGGAGGAGATAATACTTTTCCAGCTTTTCTGTACTTCTGACATTGGAAAACTTTATAAAAATACAAACTACGTCTATGCCAAGATCATCTGATGGCAGAAATGAGATTTCTTAAAGAAAAGCATCAAAATAACATGAGAAAAATAACACCGGACAGCCATGCTGACATAAATGCCCCCTCCCTGGCCCTTAAAATGTACAGGCACGGGGAGGAGGGATTACCTGACGTGATTTCTCCCAGTGAATTTTCTGTTTCTAAAGAATGAAGCCCAAGTCACACCCCAGTCCTTCAGTACAAACCAGTAGCCAGAGCCAAGCACAGAGCAGATAGAGGATATAAACTCACTACATCGAGTAAGAGAAACTCACTAAAGTATGTCTTGACCCTATAACAACCTTGAGAACTTCCTGGACCCGACCCAGCCGAAGCCCAACCGGCCTAAGCGGTGCTTCGTATGTGCAGCTCAGGCTGCCAGCTCCCCCTCCGACGGCTTTTCCCATGAAATCACAGACCCTGGGAATGCAGAAAGTTCTGGCATTTGTAGAAGTAACTGGCAACATCTTCACTAAATGGCTTCAAGCAGTGACAGAAGTGACAGAGTAAACCTACCCCCGCTGCCAGTAGTGCAGAGCAGGAGGATCCCGAGCATCACGGAGAGCTGTCCCATCTTCTGTGAGCCCCGGGCTGGGGGGACTGCTCGGATCAGCCCCACCAGGAGTGACGGGCAGCGGCTCTGTAATAGCTGGAGGTTTTTAGCGGGCGAGGAGGTGAATCATGAGGCTGGGTGAATGACACACATAGTCACTGGGGAGGCCGGAGGAAACTGCTGTCTCGTCACTTCGGAGTGTCCCCGCCCGCTCTGCCTCCAGCTCCTTATGAGGTTTTTACTCTCCTGGCTTAAACAAGGAGCTCATAAACCCTGGCAGCGAGTCCTCCCTCGGCACTGGTGACCGGCAGCCCCGGGGCTCGTACCAGGCTCTTTCCCGTAGGCTCTTCCGCATGGCTTTAATTCCTTACAAAATCTTGTTCACTCCTTCCTTTTATTAACTCTTGAAAGGCAGCTGGTTCTAAACCTCGTCTGAGCTGCTGCAGTTCGAGGATTTAAGGAGAAATAGAGCAAATATGCACTAATACAAAAGTGTGGGTTCTCAGTTCCCTCACCAGAGAGGGAATATCCCTACTGAAGCAGAGCTGGGAGTTGAAGGAGATGCAGCCAGGAACTGGACCTGGTGGAATCAGCAGTCTGGATAACAACCTGGACATCTCAAAGGGAGGGAAGCTCAGCTTGGGGTCACATAATTTGAACCTGATTTTCTTCTCACCTGTATGGGGTTTTTCCCTCTGTGTCCTCAGTAATTGATCCTGTGCTGAGAAAATCCTGGGATTGGGATCTGCATAGGGACTGTGTTCCCTGAAACATCAGAACTGCCTGTGGGTGTCTCTCGAAGGGGTTTTATAAACCTCTTGTTCCCTTGCAATACCAGGGTCCCAGTCAGAGCTGGGAAAACTGAGGCACTTGGAATACACCTTAGGAGAAAAAGGGAGAGAAGGGCTGTAGTAATTTCCCTGGGATGCTCTCTCCTGCTGGGTGACAGGGGTTGGGGACAGTAATGACATAACCCTGGGTCAAGACAACCCAGAACACAGAAATACCAAGCTGTGGAAGTTTTAGTGGGTGCCACCACAAGTTTTAGTGGGTGCCAAGAGCTGCAGCCACATCTTGGAGGTGCTGGAGGCTACAGACAATGTGGACAAAGCTGTACAAGAGCCATAGGCTCATGATAGGAGATGGGGATGACAGCACTTGTCCCAGAGCTGGCAGCTGTCCACAAGAGGTGACGGTTTTTGTGAGGATGAGGTAGAGATATAGACTCTGCTTCAGGACCTGGGAGATTTCCTTGGCTTTAAAAGAATTTTTGGCACCTCTTTGCTTCTCCACACAGCCCCACCGACCTCGAGGATGCTGCTGTCTTCCTCAGTGGGGAACCACTATCTGCCTGGGATCCAGTTCCCTCCCCAGGGTTTGTTAATAGCAAAGGAGAAGCCCTTCAACCCTCATGCAGTAACAAAAAGGCCTGTATTGTGGATAAGACATCAATACAAACCCCAAACTTGTTTTTCGGCAGCTCCAGTCTTGCGCTGCTTCAGATCCAGGAGCCATGTCTCACTGCAGACTCCATTAGCCAGTTTTAGGGCATCCAAATTCCTTATTTTCCTGCCTGGACATGCTGCCTATGTGGCCTTTCCCATCATGTGGGGCTTTTTGCCCACACAGTTTCCATGTGCTGTGCTGTGTCATCCTGCGACTGTGTCTGAGTGTTTCATGGAAACGAAGATTAGTCTTAACTATCTACAGAGGACTATGGCATCTTGTTTGGCTCTGCACACCTCCAGACCCAACCTACTATCCATCTCCCAGGTGCTCTTCACCAGGGACTTGTCCCACCCAGCTCCTGGCTGCCCAAACTGGCAAGTGCTGCTGCTCCCAAAGGATATGCAGCTCTGTGTCCTGGAATCCCCTGTCCAGAGTGGGCTGTGATACTCTCAGCATGGTGCAAAAACACTAAAGAAAAACCGAAAAGTCACAAAATTAAATATTTGACCTGCCTTCACGTTCCTGGGCTGGTCCTGCCTGAGGACAAGGATGGAATGAACTCAATCCAACGTTTGGTGGAATTTCCCTGCAAACTGCAATAAGGTGCTGCTAGTCCTGAAAACATTGCCGGGAAGTGAATGTTCCATCCCTGGAAGTGTTCAAGGCCAGTTTGGACAGGTCTAGCAGAAGATGTCCCTGCCCATGACAGGGGGTTATAATGACTTGAGGTCCCCTTTCCAACCAAAACCATTGCAAGATGCCACAATGTTACCTCCAGGCACTGCATAATAGGCAGTGGGATGTTTCAGATTTTGGGGTCCCTGGTGGGATGAAGACAGGAGCCAGCAGGGGAGTGTTTGTGACCCATCACCACAGGCTGTGACCCAGGAGCAATGGGTGCAGCCCAAATCCATGCTGGGATGTGCTGGGAGAGGAGATACTGGAGCTGGAGCCACCAGAGGGAGCAGAAACTCCTTCAGTCTGGGAGCATGCGGGGAGAGGATCTCCTACCCAGGCTGGGGCAGTGAGGACGCTCTGATTTCCTGTGGGATTTTTTTCTGGCCCTCAGGTTAAACACAGATGGTAGTTGGATCAGGGTTTTCCCCTCCTTCCTGCATAACTTCTGCTGCAACTGCCCTAGCAGAGTGGGCAGCAACCCAGAGAGAAATGCCAGACGCAGAACAAGGAGGAAAATGCAACAAGTAAACCCTGACCTGAACACTTCTGAGCCTCTAAAGTCACAGCAGCAGAGCATGGAGTCCCAGCTGCCCCAAAAGGAAGATCACTTGACACTGTCCCTACCAAGCTGCCTGCCACCCTCAGCCAGTCACAAGCTCCTGACTTTGGCTACAACTCATCAATATTCATTTTTGTTTTATCAAAATCCCCTCAAGGGCTGGATAAAGGAAACAAGCCAATGTATACATGGATAAACTAGGGCAAGGTCCTCACACTGTGCTTTGGGGGTGATCTGATGCTCTGGGCCATCCAGACACATTTCCGGGCAAGTGCCAACAGGCAAAGCCAGGAAGCTGGGACATGGCAGTGCTGTGGGCACAGCCCTGGGATGAGCAGGAGCAGGAGTAAACCAAACAAGCTGGACACCCTGACTTGTGGTGTCACTTTGGGAACTTATGCAGACACAGAGAGGGGAGTGATGGTGAAACTTGCCCTGGGATTGCCTTGGTGGGACTGAGGGGCCTGTGATGCTCTGGCCTTGGGTGCTGCGATGATGCTGCTGTGGGACCCAGAGCTGGGGACAGGGCAGAGATCAGAGTGCAGCACTGCACAGAGCTCCCCTCTGGAGGAGCTGAAGTGGGAAGGGGAGGAGAGGGAGACCATGTGCCCTGAGGAAGAAGCCCCCAGACAGAGGAACAGGATGCAGAGAGGGGCTGGATCCAGCTCTTCTCTGCAGGCACAGGACAGGCATCACCAAGCAGAGCTGGGGGTGGACTGGCTGGATTGGGCCACGCTGCTCGGAGAAGGAGTGGGTGGCGCAGAGCAGCAATTGGAGATTGGTGACAGCAGCATTGACCTGAGGCTTACAGGAGCCTTCAGTGGGACCTGCCAGCAGTCTGGGATGAACACTGACCATGCAGGATGCTTTTGGGAACAGGTGGGAGGGCTGGAGGGAGGGATGAGTTAGGCACCACTCTGCAGGGCCTTAGGGGTCAGCCCCCACCTGGGGGTGGCACAGGAGTGGGTGCGGGCACCTGTGGCACGGCAGAGATGGGGAAGGGGTGGGAAGCAGGGTGAACGTGGAGGGGGAGGAAGGCGGGCCTGTGGCGAGGCTGGAAGTGGGTGGAGTTGCTGTTTTTTCTTTGAGCACGCTGGAGACTTTTAGCTTGTAACTTGCATTTGTGGAGCTCCCAGCCGGCAGATACCAGCTCTCCCTTCTGCGGGAGAAAGCCCGGGATCCGGCACCACCACTCTGCTGTTTCAGGGGCAGGTTGGGAGGGCAGGGGGCATGGGGTTATCCCCAGCTACTGTCCTCCCCCCCAAGTCCCTTTCTCCTTTTCTCTCTCTCTCCTTTTGCTTGTTTGGGGGCTCGTGCTAATGCTCTGACAGGAGGGATCTGGGATCTAGCCATCCGTCAGCTGCACGGACTGGCTTCCCACCTGCTCACAGCCTTTAGGAAGTTCCCTCTCCATCCCGGGCACTGAGAGAGGAAAGGCAGGAAGGCGGCTTGGAGCTGCCAAGCCCTGGCCTGTGAAGGGTGGACAGGGGGATAACAAGCTTCCCTTCTACCTTTCCTGAAGATTGGGGGTCACACATAGACCATGAATGGATCCTTTTTCAACCATACTCTTCTGGAGCAGGCAGCTGACCCCAACAGGACTCAGGGCTTGGGAATGCTCATGGCCTGCTGCAATGGGACCAGCACGGTGCTTGTGACTGATGGCGGCTCCTTGGTCCTGGCACCCGACGAGAGGAACCTTTTCATCACGAAAGTGGTACAGATTGCTGTCCTCTGCATCCTCTCCTTGACTGTGATGTTTGGCATCTTCTTTTTGGGCTGCAACTTGCTCATCAAGTCAGAGAGCATGATTAACTTTCTGGTGAAGGACCGACGACCTTCCAAGGATGTCGGCGCTGCAATCATGGGACTTTACTGAAGCCACCGGGCTCTTGTAGGCAAGTGAACTGTCTGGACCTGGTGTTGAGATGCACATTCCCATGTGTTTGGGGCAACTGGGGGGAGTGGGAAGGGGAGAGGGGTCTTTTAGTCTGTCTGTGTCCATGGGAAAGCAAACCTGCTCTTCCCAGTCAAGAAAATGTGGTGGCAAATGTGGAAACCACTCCAGAGCTATGTGAAGTACAATAAATGACCAGCATTTTGTTGCATGCAGAAATGGCTTAAGTTTTGCATGAAACTTGCAGAAACAGTGCTAATGTGGAGATCTAGACTCTTGACTGCTGTTACCTTGGATACCGCTACCTGGAATTTAGGGCTAAAAAAATAAAAGGCAAATAAGTCATTACAAAAAGAAAACAAAAGAACAAACTAATGGGAGAGCAAAATACAGGACACAGACCTTATCTTTGAGATGGCAGGGGAAGAGAAGTGCTGTGTGGGTCATTAAACAAAGTCTGCATGCTAAAAAATGTCAGTCTGTTGTGTTTTGGACCTTGAGCATGCATCTTCCGGTAGTTTTGTAACAGGGAAAGCATGTTCTTCCTTATTTTTCTGAGCTATCCTGTTAAATAAACTGGTACTTTCTTCTTTCACGCTATGGTGGAGGAAGGAAAGGACCCAGATAAATATAAACCCCTCCCCACCCCTAAAACAAAAGCATGTTTGTTTTTGTACACACTAGACTCTTTTTCCAAGTCCTACATTGTTACAATCCTTGAGGTTTTGTACTTTTTGAAAACTGGTGAAAATTCAGGAAAGAAATCCAACCTGTTTCAACAGAATTTTGTGTCGTCTTTATTATTTCTGTGAGTGTGTAGTTCAGGAATTTCAATCCTAGTTCCAGGTAAAATCATATCACTTTGAAGTGAAGTGTAATTAGAGGTATTTCTTTAAAGCAGAAACCACTGTCATTTTTCACAGGTAATTTCCACTAGCAAATAAATTTGATGCTATATTTGATGAAATACTCTGTATTGCAGGCTTGTGTTGAATACCTGCACAGTGCTGAAACAGAGACTCATAAAGATGCTCTGAGTGCCTCTTGCAAAGCAAGTTTTCAGCCTTTGAGTTAAAACCCCTAGCTCCTCTGATCCTAATGAGCTGTCAAAGCTGAATTATATGAGAGAAGGAAGACTCCTGACCTTTGTTCTGTGATGGAATTACAGCTCTGGCTGTGGGTGTGAGGTAGAAATAATTTGTGTTTTGTTGCACCAACAATATTCCTGTTGGGTTCACTTCTGTAGTGGGAAAGCAATCCTGGATACTGGAGGAGCTGATGAACTGAGCTAGTTGGATGTAAATCTAGAGGAACAGATCTCTGCCATTCCCAGAGGGAAAAACATGATTAGAGAATGTTTTGTAATTAATTACTATTGGCCGAGTACCTTCCTGAGGTTCCCACATGATGCAGAGCAGGACCCGTGTAACGCTGTACCTGATTGCTCCCACTGAGCTGTTGGCTGTGTAAGCCTTAGGAGCACACTGACAACGTGGTAGCAGGGGCAGAATTTGTGATTCAAAACTCTGAAATGTCCTGTTTTTGCCAGTGGAACGGCTGAACAGGCAACTCTAGTTTTTATGAGCACTTGCAGGTCTGCAGACCTGAGCCAACTTCTCAGTGCAGAGGGTCTGCTGCCCTGCTGCCACATGTAAAGTGGCCTCACACAGCAGCCTGGAAGGGGATTTTGGTCCCTGCTGCTGCAAGGGATGTTGTGGCCATTGATCTCCTGGAACAGACTGCTCAGAGTGATGCCTTGGATGAAAACTGGCACAGGTTGTCCAGAAAAACTGCTCAGAGTGATGCCTTTGATGAAAACTGGCACAGGTTGTCCAGAAAAACTGTGGCTGCCCCATCCCTGGAAGTGTCCAAGGCCAGGCTGGATGGAGCTTGGAGCAGCCTGGGACAGTGGAAAGTGTCCCTGGCCATGGCAGGGGGTGGAACTGGATGAATTTTAAAATTCCTCCCAACCCAAATCATTCTGGGATTCCATGATCCCATGATCTCTTTGCATATGTGTGCAAACCACCCCCATTGCAGGAGCACAGCCTGGTCAGATGTGAGGGTGAGACATGAAAAACCCCAAAGCAGGCAATGACCCAGCTCTGCAAACACTTGGGCTGTACTTGTGTTTGTAAGCTAAAGGTGTATCTGCATCTCCAGGCTGCTGTGCTGTTACTGGATAACCCAGATGCACTCACTGAACTCCCATCCCATCCTGTTTTCAGCTGACATTTGGTCCCTCTTGCCAGTCCACCCACCAGCTGTGTCCCCAGTGCAGAGGACAACTCACAGATGATGGAAGAAACCTTCCAATGCTAGCAAGGAGAGAAAGGCACAGGGAAAGCTGCTAATGCAAAGAAAGGATCAAATTTACTTTTGCCCTGCAGCAATACCATGAGTGAAGCACGGTCACACAGCTGTCCGCACCTCTGCCAGGGCTGTGACATCTGGTGTGTGTGGTAAGGGTCCTGCCATGTGTCCTTAGAGGCCACATCCAGGAATGGGACATGAGGGTCATCAACCCTTTTGTGCTGTGGAGTGCTCCAGAGGTAAGGAGAAACATCATCCACAGAGGGCTCATGTACACATGAGCTGGAAGAGCAATGAAAGAAAAGAGACAAAGCGGAGCTGGGCATCTGCTGAGGCAGGTGGAGCTTGCTCAGGACTTTGCTGGGAGAGGGAACATTTTCCACATGGGTCCTTGGGGCAAAAGCCCAACTTCACTTTGGCTTGTCAACAGGACAAGATGCTCTGAGTGCCTCTTGCAAAGCAAGATTTCAGCCTTTGAGTTAAAACCCCTAGCTCCTCTGATCCTAATGAGCTGTCAAAGCTGAATTATATGAGAGAAGGAAGACTCCTGACCTTTGTTCTGTGATGGAATTACAGCTCTGGCTGTGGGTGTGAGGTAGAAATAATTTGTTTTGTTGTGCCAGCAATATTCCTGTTGGTCATGCTGTGGCTCTTTCCTGAGATCAGAGATATGTCTGCATCACCAGATTGTGTGATCCTCACAGAGGATCCTCAGAGGAAGCAGTTGATGGCACCATCCACATTTGCCATATTGCAGCACATGTCCCTGTGTGCTTCTGCCTTCCTTGTGCAGGGGTTAAGACACTTAAAACACTTGGACACATCCTTATCCCATTAGATGCCCAGTAAAAGGCTGATTACCGCACTGAGGAGGAAGTATTTGTGGAAGAGAAATCTGGCATCATGAAGGAACCCCTTGGATCAGAGATTATGGGTCTAAAGGCCATCTTGAGGTGAAGTCATGTTTGCTTAAGGGAAGGTACTGAGGGTACCATGATGTTCCCCAGATCTCAGGGGAAGAGCTGTGATCTCAGATTCTGAAAACCCAGATGTCCTGCTCCAGAGACATGAGTTCTGCAGCTGGGGGATGAGGTTGCTACTAAAGGGCTTGTTGAGGAAAGCAGACCATAATGGCTTTTTCTGTTGCCTTTCCCCACAAGCTGTGGTTTTTCATCTAACACCTACTCATTTAGCATAAGCTCACAAGTGGGTACCAGCTCCCAAGAAAATTCAAACAGTTTTTTTTTTAACTGTCATTTATTACTATTTTTTAACTTTTTTTTTTGTAATTGTTGCTTGTAGCATGATAATTTCCTGAGTGCCACTGGGGTGCCAAGAGCTGCTCAAGCATGACTGAGAGACACTGCTGGAAGGACAGGGAAGGAAGGGATATACTTAGATGGATTATCACATCAGTGGCAGACTGAGGACCAGCCATCGAGTCTCATCTAAAATCTACTCCTAGCAGTGGATCACAAACCTGTGGGACTGGTTACACCAGTCTGAGTAACTGGTCCATCTAGTCTGCATCCCTTCTCTGAAACCATCCATGATTTTAGGCAGTACATGGTCTTGGAGGTCCTTCTCAACATTAATGATTCTTCGACTCTATGACTCTATGGTCAGTCAAGTTGTCCTGCCCAAGAGCAACCTGCCCTGGACCCTCACCATCCTCCTCCAGGCACAGCTCCCTGTCTCTGGGCTGGCCCCTACTTGCTGTGATTCTGCTCCAGCTGGAATTTCTTCTTTCTAGGCAGGGAGCAGGAAAACAGCAGAGAAAGGCAAGTGAGAGCATTTCCCCCTGCTGAACTGCCTGCAAAGGGAAATCCTCTGCTTAAGGAATCACTGGCTGAACAATTGCAGAAATAAAGAGGTGGCGTGACCCACTTGGAAAATGCTGGTCATACAGATGTTGCTGTAGTAGGGAAAATAGCAAAGTCCCAGATGACACCCATCTCTTTCCCCTGCCTTGGCAGCCTGGACTGAGGGAATGGAAGAGTTAAACATGATGAGACAGACAGACACAGATTGTGGGGGGAAGAAGGATCCCAACCTGAGCTTGGCACCAGATGTACTGGAGCACCTGCACCAAACATACACAATATTTAATAATTCCTGAGAATTGCTATGGTAATAAAACACAGAGTCAGGTTGTTATGGTAACAGTTTGGGTGTTTTTTAGGCAGGGAGGCATTACTTGGGTTGTAACTTCAATCCAGACTGAACACATTTCTGAGAGCCCAGAAAGTAAAAAAGAAGTAAAATGAAATCAAATTAGATAAGTATCAGTTTCCTGTCTTTTGTCTGGCAGTCCTGGGTTTGTTCTGTAGATAGATGGAGGGAACCAGGCTATTCCAGACACGTTGCCCTGGAAAGCCTGAGGAATAGCTGGAGTGGATTTCTGCAGGTTTAAACTGTGTGCTAGAGGGGGTGAGGGGCTGAGCTGCTCTCATGGATGGGTCTGGGATGATGCTCCACCACCTCCTTGGTTCCTTGCCACACCTCCGACCTACATCCAGGTGTGTCCCCAGCTAGCTAAAGGGAAGGACACTCTTGTCTTTGCAGGTGTGCACACACAAGAGAGCAATGATGGACAATCCCTGAACCTAGCTGGGCCCACAGCAGGGTGCTGTGGTCCCAGGTAACAGCCTGCCCACATCCCAAGTGAT